TGGCGACGAAATATTTGTGTTGTAAACGCAAATTTTTTTTAAAATAATATATATGTCTTATGAATGTTATATATGACATGCACATCATTTCAGTCGGTCTGTCCGTCTGCGTGTTGATCTGTCCGCTTAATCCTTGGTCCGTCAATAACTTGAAAAGCACTGCTAGGATTTTGATGAGGTTTTCACACAAGCATGTAAAAGTTTTGTAGTTTTGAAAATCGGTCCAGTGGCGGCGGAGCTACAGGCGTAAAAAGATTAAAACCACCTCAAACTTTTTTGAATTTTCAGAGGCGTCTGATCATTTTCAGAACAATTTTGTGGATGGTAAAAATTGGGGATTGGGCGTTGTAGGGGGTCGGATAGGGAACATCTAATTTTTTTGGGGTCAGTATATTTACAGGTTTCTAATCCCCGTAATTCCAGGGATCGCCATAACTATTACGGTATCAAGTTCTTTAATACTCTTTCTGGGTCTGATAGACTTTTGAATATTGCATCGTTCAAGCCACAATGTCATCATATCTGAAGCGGAAAGATTTTTATAGTATTGATAACTTTCTACTCAATGACTTCAGTGACATATAATGATTATATTTTTTTCTTTTTTATATATTTTAGTGTAATTACGTGTGATTCGAACTTATTTTTGAATGTGTAGTCTAATTATATTAGACGAAAATACCCCTGGTTTTCGAAATAATTGTAAAACCTGGATTTATTGATGCACGTTATTCAAGAAGGTATCTAAAACATGGTTGCATAAAATGTGTACACCAATTTTTGTGAGAAATCTTTTATTTGACAACAAAGCATGAGAATACCCGTTTTTGGGATTCAAGCGACAGCATTGACAGGAACAAAAAAAACCGTTCAAATAAGATTTTTAAGTATTTATGAGATCTACCAAATGAGACTACACGTAAAAATATACCATTTATAGTAAAAAAGTTATGGCCGAAAACCGAGGCAAAATGTAGGTTTTGGCACTCGTTGCTAATGCGACAATAATTTCACGCAGCTACTTGAAATTCTTCAAATCCGTAGCCTTCATACTTCTAAATAACCACAACAAAATTGGAGCCGATTATGTTCAGTGATTGCTCAGTTACATATACGCAATGTTTGAATTTGATTAGAATAAAAATACACAACCCTTCGTTTTTCGCATAAAAATAACAATTATCTTTCGGAATGGTTTGTGATTCACGTCGGCAAGGTAAATTCATGTATTTTGCTATAAAACGCCCTTTGATCGAACCCTGTATATTGCCCAGTAAACTACTAGTGAAGGCCGGAAGACAGGTGTTTTAGGATAAACAATTAGAAATTATCAAAAAATACTTGACCATTCAATTTTGTTGTGGTTCTTTAAAAGTATTTGGATTTGAGGAATTTCAAGTAGCTGCGTTAAATTATCCTCGCATTAGCAAAAAGTGCCAAAACCTGCATTTTGCCTTGGTTTTTGGCGATAAGTTTTTTAGTATTAGTCGGATCTTTTTACGTGTAGTCTCATTTTGTAGGTCTCATAAATAGCTAAAAATCTTATTTGAACAGCTTTTTCGTTCCTGTCAACAGTTTCATTTGAATCCCAAAAAACACGTTTTCTCATTCTTTGTTGTCGAATAAAAAGTTTTAGTTTACCCATTTTATGCGTCCATGTTTTAAATACCCCCTTGAACAGCTTGCATCAATAAAATCCGACTCTACAATTATTTCGGGGAGATTTGCTAATATGATTAAACTAGTGTCTGGTTTGTTTAATTCAGTATTAATGCTGAGTGTGTACTTTTTTGTGCACTGTAAGATTTTCTTTTTTTTACGTATGTGAGTGCTTTTGCATGCCCAACATCAATAAAGATTATTATTATTATCATTATGATTATTATTAATTCTACGCACCTATTAGACATATTTCATCCATAGATTTCTTCCCAAATTTGCCCTTAAGACCTAAAATGATGAAATATTTCAATCCTGACCGCGTCCAGGACAACGAGAAGCACTGCATATTATCAAGTTCCCTACCTCGTCTGTCTGAAAACGATAAACTCAAAAACTACCCAACGAAGTCTTACACGGTTTTCACCAGTGGATAGAGGGATTGATGAGAAAAGTTTAGGTAATTCTTACCCAAGATAAAAATTTGCCTATAAAAGGTCATGATTTGACGTACGCCGCAAAACCTGTTGATGTTACATAAAGTATAGTAGTCGTCATGATTCACAAAAAAGTCCGCGAGGCTATATGCTGCTTAGGAAGTGCAGAGTCAACCTACTTGACGCCATTTTTGAGCTCGCGTATACAAGGATGACAGCATAAGTAAGCTCTTTTGGAGATGATGGGAGTACGTCACTGTCTCCTTTACGTAGTAGATAAATAGTAACTCCTTTTTCTTATTTGAGCATTAGCAGCTGTTAACGTAGCCAGATTCCGCATTTTCACTTTTGGAAATAAAAGCGGAGCAAAAGGAACGTTTTCAACGTAAATGAATTTATTTTTAAAACGAGGAGCTCGCGGTTGGTGAACATAGAAATGATTTAAAAGGCAGATAGATGTGTGTTAAGCCGAATATAATGAGGTCGGTGACCCCCCTTGATGCGCTTCAGTGACGTGGAAATGGGAAATTGCCTAGATAACTTTTTTATACTGGATTAACCGGGAAGGCAACACCTAAATAACGAGGTACTGCGACTGGTAGAAAGGCATCTTATTGATCCTATTTTTTGAACTGCTTAATGTTAGCTGAAACTGTTAAAAGCGTCTTCTGGTGGATTGTTTCTCATTATTGATATCCAACGGACGAAGAAACGGTCGTACCGGCCAGTACTTAAGTTAGAATAAGAAGCAAAAACTCGGCAGGACCATCTAACAGGCCTAGAACGTGGCGACATCATCAAAAGAGCTCACAGGATCAAAGTCCGTAGAAAAAAGCCATATAGTAGACCGCATGTTGATGTGAGAAAGGCTTTAGACTGTTAAGAAAGTGTCATCTATCGCCAATTAAGACGGATATGAAGATAAACATTGCCAAACCTATGTTTATACAACGGGATTCAGGAAAACGTGTCAATCTTTCTAGAGTGAAAATTACATTCAATAATAATAAAAAAGATACTATAAGCATGAATATCCCAGTACCAAGGTACAGGGTATTGCAAATTTATATATGCCACTGATGAGACTGAATAATAATGACGTAAATATTGTTCAAGTGACGCTATGGTGACACAGGATTACTCCGCTAACTCCCAAAATACAACTTCACTATCGTCAGCGTATTTTGAAAGAGCGTTTTGAAGTTTTAAATAGGTACTGTAACGAAAACCCCGTTTTTACTACTTAAAGTCTAATTTATTACTTCTCTTACTATATTATAGCAATTGCGACTAATTTATATTACAAATTTATGAATATATCGACTGGACTAGGGTATTTACGGCTGCTGCTGGCTCATCAGTCGCTCTGCCCGCTGTGCGTGTATTTATCTTCGAATTGACAAGTCCATAAGCGTTCTAGACAGATCAAAGCTGGTAGTGGCGGTCGATGTTTCTCGATGCGTGACAAACGTTCTCAACGTGCGGACACGTAATTGGTTGCCTAAGCGTCGATGTTACGAGGGTGTCTCATTGTTACTCAAACTTCTAGTTACAAGGGTATTACAGTACGTTACCTGAAATATTCTTGCCAATTTTTTCTCAAAAGAAGTAGCCTGAGGAAAGTGTCTCAATAGAGGCGATTCATGTATAAATTGAACACCTTTTTTAAAAATGCAGTGGCGTAGAAAATAGTTTTCTTTTTTCTTTTATAGGGGTCTAAATTTCTCAATTTTTACGCGACTGATATCGTTTCAGACATAAAAAAATGTGTACGTCTTGGCCACGTTGTTAGTACTACATGTTCCCATTTTTGTGACAACATCTTAACAGACTCCGAAGATATAATTTTTTTTGATTTCTTAAAATTAAACCTTGAACACCCTGTATCTCATAAGGAGCTATTTTAGGACCCATATGTATTAGAAGTGTTCGTTTTTGCCAATAAATATGGCCCCGATTTTCTAATTTAAATGTAGCAAGTTGGCCAGGAGCATTTGCAGTACTGTCACATTTGCATCACTATCAAATAACCATGCACATATCTACATACATTTATGTATTTTGTTTCTGAGTATAACTATAAAAGTCGTTATCCATATGTTAATGAAATGAATAAAATATATACAAGGCACATACTCAGTCAAAAAATTTACGTTGATTGTTTACCTAAGTACATATTTATCAAGGCGGCACTGTCAATTGGCTTATGCAAGTTGAATATAAAATATCACGCGATGTTCTTATGAATAAAGTGCTCAAAAATTTTATTATACGCTTTTTGTAGCTTGATATGTACATATTCTTTAAAAAATTGAAACGTAGAATAATGAAAAGTCATGCTTTCTCCATTTTACTTCCCACGCAGCTGAGGTTAGGATATGTCGCAAGCTAGAGCCAATTGAGAGATTTGCACAACGCATTCGAATTTAGCGCATCAAAAATCTTCAGAAAAGTATACTCTGGTTTCTGAGTAAGAGGGTCGACTGACTCAAATTCAAATTCTTTATTTTCTCGTTGATGTTAATTAAACTAAAAACTAGGGACAACATAACAGTAAAACAACGGTAAAATGAAACAAAAAACAATAAAAAAATTTATACAGTTAAAACATTGAAAATGCCAACAAGAGAAAACTCTTCGACACTATAAAAACTCTGATCGATCAGAAACCTTCTCAAATTTCGTTTGAAGGACCTCATGTTTGTTACTGACTTTACCGACTGTTCGGCCAGTATTATTCTGAACAAGAAAGATCCTAGGGTTGACCATTTTATAGTTATGAGCGATTAAAACTCTGAAAAGCTCCTACAAATGGTCATTTTCAATCCTTAAAATCTAGGTTAAAAATTACTACCTTTGAGGTTGTCAAGAATCTGAATTAGAGATGTGTACCTTCCTCTACAAGCAGGAATGCATAGTCGGCGTATTAAACAATAATTATTTCGGGCTACTAGCCTCGTTCTGAATTAAATGTTATATTCAAATCCACGTTTGTCTTGAAGTCCATTCTTAACGTCACTGGTATTCTCTCTACAACGTAATTCTGATGAAAACCAGTGCTCTTTCAGAAACGTTTAACGGAAACACTAACCCAGGAAATATTTATTTGTCATTATCATTATGTGAGATATACGCCAGTTGGCCTTGACATAAGACACACGGTACGAGCACATTTTAGAAACTATGAGAAGTGTGGCCTACATTTTTCTTTCAGTGCGTGTGTTCATAACTGATAAAGATTTTCGGAACACCGTAATGGTGACGAAAACATTGTGGTGCTTGCTTTTGACATTACAATGTCGTAATGTAACATACATGCTCAGATACCTTGGGATGTACGGCCGTGATTGTCTTCAGCTTGACCTAGAAGAGAGATATGAGTTTCTTAGAAGTAAAAGATTCCATCAAGTAGGTTGATTGGGTGCTCCCACGTAATGAGAGCTGCTAATTTTATTATCTCGCTATAGGACAGTCAAATATGCCCCAAACAAGTTTTTGTTACCTACTTTTTACTACTGCGTTCTTCGACATCTGTGGATAGACGCTTTTGTGACACCAAAGAATGACTTTGAATTGTCATAAACCGTTAAAATGCGTGAAATAATCAAAATATCCGGGACACCGATTGCCTGATCAGTATGTCCTCGTCCCGTCGACGTTCCCAAAAAGGCTTATCTGATCTGTCATTTTGGAAATAAACAAAGCACATACCAGATGTGAACAACTTGAAACTAATAACCATCGACACATTGTCGCTCTTGAAGGGACCTATCAGAATGACCAATCAGATTATACTTTATCCTGCAGGTGATCCTCATATTTATAACGTAAAGCTTCACAACTTGCATGGGTCACAAATCTGGGGTATGTGGTTTGCAGTGTTGAGCCTCTTGTAATTTTGCCCTAGATGTTACTCAGGCTTAGACAATGAGCCATTCACTATTATAGCCAAGGAATAAGTTATCAGATATACCAATCCACATATCTTTGAAGAACATTGTGAGTGTGCTCTTTTAACATAGTTATTATGGTTCTGATGGGCAGAATGTAGAAGGGCTTTGTTTCCACATATACGAGGGTGTTTTAGAAAATTTGGCAGTATTTGTAGAGTAGAAAGTACATCCATAATGACGAAAAGGTCCGTATAAACATGTGTAATAGAATATAACTAAGATACACGGTGTTGTAAATTTCTACGCCCTTGGTGAGATTGGAAAAGGACAAAACATGAGCATTGTTCAAATATCGCTACTACCTCTACATACAATTTTTAATGTCAACGTCACTTTAGCGTAATTTCAAAGTAGAATAGATAGAAGTTTTTTATACGGATTTTACCACATATATTCGAACCATTTTTTTTCAAAAAGGAGTAACATGACAAAAATTCAATACCTTATTCAAAAATACAATAGATGTTTAAAAAAGTCAGTAGCGTAGGAAATAGCATTGTTTTTTTCTGTAGGTATTATTCAACGCCATTGGTGTGGTCTCAGGCACGAACATTTTTCTATGAAATGGCTATGATGTTATTACTAGATGTACAAAATGTTGAGTCAATATTTTAATACATACCGAATGCATTTCCAGCCATATATTTACATGGATTTTCCGTGTTATTTTTTGATCTACTTCATGCACTAAAAATACTGCCATTGTTCTCTGTTAGTAGGTTTTGAAAATCAATCCAGCGCGGCGGAGCTAAGGGCAGCAAACGAAAAACAAACTTTCAGAGACTCCTGCTCATTACCAGGAAGGGCAGAAAATCATAGGGGGTGGAAGCTTGTCAATTTGCAACTTCGGTATCAGTGTTCATTATTAAAAAGTTCTGTTAATACTGCATGCAACCTATGCATCATAGACAGGCATACTTTCCATGCATTTGCCATCGTAGCAGAACTATGGTTCAAAATAAACGTAACAAGCAAAACTTTGTTCGAATTCGGAATGTCATAACGTTTTTATTTTTAACTCGATTTTATCGTTTTTTTTTTCAGCAGGCGGATAGGTACGCTTATTGGCTTAAAATTGCATCTCATTTCTTGATTGTTGCTACACCTTGACTTGTTGTACAGGGTAAATCAAATGATGTGTCATTACTACTACTCCAATTTTGAGTCGATCTGATTTCAGTTGCCAATTAGTCCGCAATGCTTTTCATTATCAAGAACAGCATTTTCTCTATTATATGATTTTTATTCATGAAAATATGCACACTGGTTGAACTTTTAGAGATAAATCAACATTTTACCACAAATTTTCCTTCTTTCTTTCATAACTTTTTAATTCCCATCCGAATTCAGAAATTGTTTCTTCAAATTGTACAGAAATCCATTGCTTCTCAGTGTTAGGTTCACATTTGCTTACATCGTCGTTGATTCCGTTCGCCTACAGCGGTGAAAAAATTGAAACGTTTGACTATGTATAATAATTTCACCCTCTACCCTTTTTAAACACAGTGTAAGGGCAAAAAACAGAATTTCCTAGATAGGCCTTGAAATTATCAGATTTATCGCAAAATCGTTTTTTATTTTTTCCTCATTTGATTTGAGATGGGATTTCAAAAAAAGTTACAACACGTGACAATAACGTCACGTGTTTTCCTGTACAAGTTCGCGTAGTCAAATTTTCAATTATATCTTCTTTGGCTTTCCATCACCAACTTTCATATAGACGCTATATTGGATTTTTTTACGTGTGTTCATATGAAAAAAACAACGTTGGTGATGGAAGTAGAAAGAAGAAACCTCGAATTGAAAATTTTAATTACGCTATCTTGTAGAGGAGAAAAAGGGGCCATAACAATATGCAATTTATTTTGAAACCCATCTCAAATAGTGTCAGAAAAAAGTAAAAATGATTTTGGGATAAATCTAGTATATGAAACGAATGGCTATCTGATAATTTCAAGGCCTACCTAGGAAATTCTGTTTTTTTTTCTAATGTATGAAACATTATATATTTTTTGAATCAGAATAGTAACTTTCTTGACGTATGCAAAATCGATTTTGTCTCTCTTGTCTACTTCGAATTTCGAAACTTCCTAAGCGGTATTTTGTGAGTTGACAAGTTTGTCCCCATTTAAGCGACTTCGTATCTCTTACCGTTTCCGGATCCCAATGGTGAGGGTCGAACTTGAAATACCCGGTAGATTTATGTAATAAGTAGTTTACGACATATTCCATCTCAGGCTCCTCTATCGATATACACCTACTAATAGAATTTGTAGCTCTGAGATCTCCTTCATACGGCTCTCTAAGTCTGCTAAATCAATATTTTCATTTCCTCTTTAGAAGGTTTTTTAAGCTCTAAAGATATAGTTTTAATTATTATTTTCGACTTCCAGATCCCTCAATCGCACAAAATGGAGTGTGGCGTAACGGCAGCGACTTCCCCGACCCCCACAGGCATCTTGGCCGACGTTGGGCACAGGGCGGAGCGATCCCCAGCAAGGACGGGGCTCCATGTGGCCTTCAAAGAAAAAGGAGAGATCAAGGAGAAAAGGGAAAAGTTCCTCACTGCCAAATATGGACACCACCAAATGAGTCTCATTAGAAAAAGACTCGCTGTGGAGATGTGGCTGTATGAAGAGTTGAAGAAGTTGTATGATAGTGGGAAGAGTAATGGGGTAAGTTATTGTAGAAAATTTTAGTATGAGTGTTGATACCCATTCTTCGCCCCTATCCTACTTGTAATAAACCTACATTCAATTTGTATTTTTTGTATTTCTACATAATTCCAATTAATATCAACCTACTTTTAGAATTAGTGCTTAGCATTTCAATATCTTCCTTAAATTTTGTCCGGCTGCTGAATACGGTAGATATCACCTCTTGATCATTTGACAGTTTTTTTTCTCGTAAATGTTTTTTTAATTTTGGAAGTACAGTAGACCTTCGGTAATCCGACAACCATTATGCAGGGCAGTGTCGGACTATCGAATTTGTCGGATTATAGAGCACTGTCTAAGACCCCCTATAGTCCGGAATTTTTTACAAAAGAGTATCTTGTAATCCGACAAATTACATATCCAATAGTAAGATTATATATGTTATGTACATGTATATGTATGTACTTTGAAGTACAAATCATACATAGTTTATGTATGTCGAATTAAGTAAATTAAATAACAATAGAGAGCTTAGGTTTTATTATAAAATTAAGCATAAATGCACATACATATGTACCAAAATAATCAAGAATTATTAATCAAAATCATTAATGAATTTATCAAATTATGAAGCTTGGAAATATCAATTTTTTTTTGTTTAAGGTTGTTATAACGCGAAATCAGAGCTTTGTCCCTCAGTCTTCTCAAAAGTAAAAGTTCGTTGTAGGATGTACCATTCTCTTCAGCCCATTGTAAATCTAGCTCAAAGGCGTTAATTGCGTCTTGTGCTGTGACTTGTGGAGCAGTTGCAATCACGTCGTCGTTATTTTCCTGATTGTTTGTTGTATAATTGTGGAGCAGTTGCAATCACGTCGTCGTTATTTTCCTGATTGTTTGTTGTATAATTAGAAACCTCTTTTATAATCTCTTCGTCAGACATTTCATGAAAAACATTTTCCCCTTTATCCATTCCATGGCACCAGATTTCCAAATCTTCCGGACTTATCTGTGTTTCAGTTCTATAACTTCCGAAGTTACACCGATTTGTGGAACGTTGCTAGGTGACTATATGTGGCCATAACTTTCTTCAAGACGATTTAATAGTTGATGACGGTAACGCATTCGACGACTGACAAAGAGCAAAAACCAAGTCTTTCATATTAAATTCTTTTAAAGTTTTTTCTATTGGTTGGTCTTTTGATACGGCTCTTAGAAGTAGGTTTTTCTTATAGTCTTGCTTGACAAACTGAATGATATTCTGGTCCATTCGTTGAATCAGTGCAGTGCAATTTGGCGGAAGAAACATCGCAGTGATGCATTTATCCTCAGATGTTAGTTCTTCTTCAGACGGATGACCGGGAGCGTTATCAAGAAGCAACAACGCTTTTTGAGGAAAATTATGATATTTTAACCATTTTCTAACTTCAGGTACGAAGCATTCATCAAACCCCTTTTTGAAAAGGTCTTTTGTCATCCATGCACTTTTTTGTCCGTAATAGTGTACAGGTAAATCAATGTTTTTGAATGCCCGTGGTTTATTAGATGACCAATGACCATCACGCTCTTTTTGCTTACTTTTCGTCCAGGTACGGATTTTTCGTTACAAGAAACGAAAGTTTTGTTAGGCAACACACGCCAAAAAAGCCCTGATTCGTCTGCATTTTACACCTGTGACGGGTCAAGATTTAAATCGTTCACCTTTTGCAAAAATCTTAATTTAAAGGGCTCTATGCAGGTGGCATCGTTAGAAAGTTTCCCTCCTGTAATAGTCATTAAACGTATGCGATGACGACTTTTGAAACGTTCTAGCCATCCTTTGCTGGCCACAAAATCATCTTTTTGTATTATTTCCTTATAAAAAAACTTAGCTTTCATGGCCAACATGGGTCCTGAAATTGGTGCATGCCTATTTCTTTCCTGAAGAAACCACATGTACAAAGCTTCTTCCACTTCTGGATGTTCAGCTTTCTTGAGTGTCTGTCTCTTGCCTGGCCCGCAGTCAGTAGTTGACACGAACTTCTTGATCCTCTTGTGGTTTCTTTTAATGTCATAAATTGTAGATCGGCCTACGCTGTATTCACTTGCTAAACTACTGAAAGTTTCATTGCGATTTAAGCGGTCTAAAATATCACATTTTTCTTTAATTGTCAATGTTTTGTGCTTTCGCTTCTGAGTTTGTGATGACATTACTAGGTACTATACTTAATACACAATGAATAAATACTAAACAATGAACGCACGCTAGTCCGTACCGCTATCACAAGTAGTCAAATTCAAACTAAGTAAAACAATGCTTACGCGTCGAGCATGATAGCGGTGGCGGGTTATAACCTGTTCAAACCTGCGCGATCTACATTAGCGAAGATTGTCAAATACGTATTTATGTAATATTCAAAGACATGTCGGATTACAGGGGGCGCCGGATTAGACAGCGGCCGGATTATCGGGGGTCCACTGTAGTCTGAAATTACTGGTGGCTTTATCTGGAGAATATGGCGGGTACTCTATCAGTTCAAAGCCTGCTTGTAGGGCAGCTATAACAATGCCGAATGTATGGCTGGGAGCAGTATCCTGAGGGAGTTATACGTGCCTTACTAATTTAATAAATATTTCTCTGTACAAACGTCTGGCAATTTTGAGATTAAGTATACATAATAGGTCCCTGCAATGCTAAACGTGCGTTTTGTTCACCATATCATCACTTTTTTAACGTTTTCGTCGGTGGTTACCGTTAAATGTGGACCATCGCCATGTTTTCACAATATCTTCATATGCACTTAAAATCGTCATATCGTCAGATACTGCACATTCCCCAACAGTGTTCAGATGAATTTCAGTGAGTGCTATACACTTTTTTGTATTCGCGGTAAATTTCGAAAATGATATATGTTTTTTGGATGCTATATGACATGTGCATAACGAAAAACTGTTTCACTCATTTTCATCGGTCCGCCTGTCTCTGTCCGCTAATCCTTCACCCCCTATATGACCTGGGAAAAATTGTAGGGTTAAAAAAACTGGTGGTTGGGAGGCTGTAGGGGGTTAGCTGAGGGTGCATCTCAATTTTGCAACGTTGTTAATACTACGAACCTTTTAGACATATTTCGCTCATGGTAGATTTTCTTGTATATTTATCCTTGAAACTTTGGCCGAAGATATATTTCCGACCCCCGCGCGTCTGTCATACGCTTCGCGGTCCTGTCAATGCATGTGTTTAGCAGTCGGCATCTGCTGCCCGACTGGATGGGGACCGTCGGCAGTGATGCCAACTGGTCAAGCATTTTTCTCCAAGGTAAATATCTCCAAAAATCTCCTAAACTGAAACTAAAATACCCTAGCTTCCATATCATCAGCATATGCTCTTGTGTTGCACAGAAAAGCATGTTATATATGGACATTTTAATTCTATGAACCTGTTTGACCAACTTGATTCATTCAGTTTTTTTGTTATGCATGTTCATGGCTAACTTTTTCTCAGAGGTACCAAGTTGTGCCAAACATAATTCTTTATGACCTGTCGACAGCGTTGCGTAGGAAGTGCAGAGTCAACCTACTTGACGGCATTTCTGCAGATATTTTATTACAGCTCTTTTCTCAACATAATCCATTTCTATTCAAATCCTTTACAGATGTACCAAAAAGCACATTATGAAAACATTTTGACATGCAAACAATTAAGCTTCAAAAAATTTACATAACAGAATCCGTTTAATAACAAAAAAATCAAACAATAGCCAACAATTTGTCGCCTATTGAACCGTTTGCGTCCATAAAACATCAATGGAAAAATCCGCTAATAATAGCTATACATCAATTCAACCTTCAACGGATTGATTTCGAGTTAAACCAATCGAACGGAAATTTCGCGGATATATTTGTATTTACAGAGACGTTTGAAAAAGGGGGTTTTAATTTACTGCTTGTGTATTTCAGTACATGTTTTTTATACTCAAGCATCCATGAAGGCAAATCCTACATACGATGGTATAGGCGAACGTCATTCACATATAATTTTCGTCGAAAAACTGAAGAGTCTTTTCTACGGTGCTTTTCAAAAAGGTCCTCTCTACCTATTTTTTGAATGGGTCAAGTTAGCATGCTGAAATTTAGGTTGATGGAATTGAACCCTGAGGTATAAGATGGAATGCTTCAAGATTGCTTTTTAAAAAGTTATTTTCTGAAAATTACAAAACTCAAAAATGTACTTCTCCAAAGTTTTTACATTTTTATGATGTTAACTGTATAAAGGTTTTCTAAGAATCTAGTGGCTTGGTCCACATTATTCCTACCGTATCAACAGGAGCGGCTGATATAACTGATCAATACTATATTTTAACGTAAATTTGGCAGTTGGAAATTTCTAAAAAGGAGACTGGCCACCATCTTGGGACATTTTCAAATTGAACGGGGGTAATGTGATACCTCGTCAAGAAGCTACTTATCAATAGATAGCCGTAGAATATAAAATCATTCCAAATTGCAGGCTGTAAAAGTTGATCGTGCTTGTACTTTGAATCACTTATAACTCAACAAACAATCATCAAAACGGTGTATCGATTTTCTTAACTTAAAATTATGTATTATAATATGTTATAAAATATGAAATATTTCAATTGAAAAATGTGAGAATTTGTCAACCATTTGAAATGAACTGTCTCATGTTTTATTACAGATTCAGATAGACCCTTTCAAAATAAGGGTACTGATGATGATTAGTTGTTGAGTTATAAGTTGTTTAATGTCCAATAATGCTCAACTTTGACTGTCCGCTACACCCTTATTTTGTAAGATTAAATTAATCAATTATTTCTATCGTTCGTGTTAAGGGCTAATGTATGATGTGTGGAATATGTTTAATAGATGCGTATATTTATCGGCGTTGGAGGTATTTTAATATACTAACATTGAAAAATTGCGATACACCCTTCCCACCCTCCTACAATACCCCACTCCCAAAATTTAACCCCTAATAACGAAGTTTGATCAATATATTTTGTTCGTTCGTGGCCTTTTTCTCC